TGAAAGCCCCTTGAGATCAAAAGATCTCTTTTTCAAGGGTGACCTGCAGGACATGAGTTACACATGTAACATAAAAACAACAGAACAACAATAAGGATGACATACAACATAATGTACAGGGTACAGTTTACAAACTCTATTTACAGTGACAGGTACCATGAGTATCAAACAGCATGTCACCCAGCCGAGTTTTAAAATGATGCAGGGGAACCAAAGTGCTCAGTTTTAAACATTTTTGCAGACTGTTCCAAGTTAGTGGAGCTGCACAACTAAAAGCTTTCTTCCCTAAGACAGTCCTAGCACTTGGCACATTTAATAAAACAACATCATGAGATCTCAGGCAATACGTACTTTCAATTTGTTGAGAGATCAGAGAGCAGATATAAAAAGGTAGTTTACCCAACATGGCTTTATAGATGAACATGTACCAATGACTGAGCCTCCGTACAGTTAGTGAAGGCAGACCTGCCCTGGCATACAGGGTACAGTGAGGAGTAAGTGCTTTACAGTTAGTAACAAATCTCAGAGCACTGTGATAGGCGGCATCTAACTTTTCCAGGCAATGGGCAGGTGCATTCATATAGATCAAATCACCATAGTGCACAGGTAAAAAGGTCACAGAGCCTTTTCCTGGCTTCAAGCGAGAAACAGGACTTGTTTCTGAAAAAGAAACCTAGTCTAACCCTCAGCTTTTTAAGCAGATTAATGACCTGAAGTTTAAAAGTAAGACGATAAGCCAGATACCCAGATATTTATAACAGGTAACCACTTTGAGTACTTGTCCTTGCATATTAACAATATCCAAAGCAGTGTCTGTAGTCTTTTTAGCTTTAGAAAAGAGCATTACCTTGGTTTTATCAACATTTAAAAGAAGCTTAAGCTCAGCGAGCTGAGTCTGAATAATGTTAAAAACAGCCTGTAATTTAACACCAGCCTCCTGAATGGAGGGACCTGCACAGTACATCACGGTATCATCCGCATAAAAATGTAAAGTAGCTTCATCCACATGTTCACCTAAACTGTTGATATATATAGAGAATAAAAGTGGACCTAAAACAGAACCTTGAGGAACACCATTAGCAATGTTTAACCACTCAGAAGACAGCCCATCAAAGTGAACACATTGGGACCTTTCAGAGAGGTAGTTCACAAACCAACCCACTGCATGGCTGGATATGCCAACACTGAGTAGCCTCTGCTTCAAAATGCGATGATCAACAGTGTCAAACGCTTTGGAAAGGTCAATAAATAGAGCTGCACAACTCTGCTTATTGTCTAAGATACTCGTAATGTCATTCACCACTTTCATTGTGGCTTTGAATTATAGCTGAGAGTTAATAATCATTACTAGCTTCTTCAGTCGTTAGCATTGTCTTTAGTTTGACTCTCACAAGTTTGCCTCCACTGGAATGTCTGTCTTGTTTATGCATGTCAGAAAATAGAGAAAGTGGGTGTGGGGGTAGTTGGAAAGCAGAATGGAGAGGTGTGGAGAGAATTTGGTTAAGAGAGGAATGTGTTTCCACATCAGAGGTGTCTGCATTCTGGAAATTGTGTGCCCTACTTATGAGGAATTGTAGGACTGCATATGTTTCTCACATAGCTATTTTTGTGGTTTTACCTTGGCACCTTTGTCTCAGTTTTGAGATTGTTGACAAAACTAATTGCTGTCAAATGCCAGGCTCAGCAACGAATAGTAATGCTTCAGCAGAACCCCCCTAAAGTGTTTCCAAATGGATCAAATGTTCAACAGATGTAGTGCACCAAGTTCAGTTGAGTTCAAACTGACTCATTGAGGTTGGCATCATTTCTTGGTATCACTTCCTTAGCACTGAATAAGCTGGGTTTTCTTTTTTTGCTACCAAAGGCTGCATTGTGGGGGTTGGTAGGAGGCATTGTGTTGCTCAACATAATGGATCAAAAAGCCAGAGGTGGGGGCATCAATCCAACAAAGGCTGCCAATGATAAAAAGTGAAAGAAGATTCTTTGAACTGAAGTATGTCATTACCGAGATATTTATTTTATTCCATAACAAATAGCTTTTGTTCTCTGCGGGTTTTTTTTTTATTCATCTCTGACGTAAATGTGAAATACCTAATTGAAACCTGCCCTGAGTTAATAACACTAAATGTACTGAGAAAAGTAGCCAACACTTCCTGTAACTGCTGAATTCCATGAGGGAAAACCGTTTATAACATTTATGGCTTTTAGAAAAGCAACAAGACAAGCAAGGTCATGAATCACTTTGCTTTTAAAACCCCCTAGAAGCAAATTGTGCACTCTGTGGAGAGACCTTTTCACTTAATGCTTAATTCACATGTGGGTGTCGCTCTGTTCTTCAGGTGGCTGCTGTTCAGTGACCCAGGCTTTCAGGGAATGATTGCTGTGCTGGAGCCGGGAGCGTACCCGGTCCCTGAGACCTGGGGCTTCCAATCACCCTTTGTTGGATCTCTTAGGCCACTTAAAATGGTTTGTATTTATTTATCTAATATCTTATGTCATATTTCTTTGTTTTTTTTCACTGCTGTATGGATAGAGCTCAAGTACTGTTTTTTCAAGCAATCAGGGTAAGCTTTATAAGCTCTGTCTTATGCCTACAGCTATTATTTCGACCAGAGAATATTATTTGATTTTGTTTCATTTTCAATTAATTCATGTTCCCCTCTGGATGGAATGTGACCATGAAAGTCTCACAGCATTTTATCTAGTACCAATCATCAAATAAAATGTGTCCAATACTTTGGTTTATGAGCAAGTACCTTGTGACATTTCTCAGCTGTAACTTGCGTTTAGTGCTCTTTAACACAGTTTGGCTTCGAGTAGGCACACAACTAAGATGGTGAACACTTTGATCATCAGTGATGTTTAGCATTTATTGTGAGCATGTTAGCATGCTAAAGTTAGCTGTGAAAGGTTTCCATCAGAACATTGGTGCTTGCTAACACAATGAATATGCTACAATTAGCTTTCATGAACACACTGTTCTTAGTTCAGTAACCATTATGACCCCCTAGTGATGTTTGTGAATTTCGTTACTCCGGCATTGAACAAAAGTGTCAATGTTAGAATTAGCACTAATTACCTTCCCACAGTGACAGGCGTAAAGGTCAATATGTACGTTAATTATTCTTCTTTGCTCCCTGTTCAGGAATAGAATAATTGACATAATAGAGCCATTTGCATACTGTACAATGTGTATTTAATGAGAGAAGAACATTGGTGCTGATGTTGATGTCTCTGTTTCAGGGTGGTTTCAAAATAGAGAATCCAAATGAAGTCAAGGTAGGATCATTTTACATATTACGTCTCTTGAGTGTTGTGTGCTTCGTGTAAATAAAATGTGATTTAAGATCTTTGAATTATCAACAAAGCAAATCATGTTTTAAGCTCAAACATGTTTATTTAAAAAGCCAATTTTTCTGTTGAGTTTTTCTTTCATGCTTTTTATTGAAGCAGACATTTTTAAACCTCATAATTAAAGGAAAACAGCCTTTTCTTAGACTCATCACTCTTTACAGGGATTCAACAATCATAGCAGAAAATCACTTACAGTGAGGGCCAGTGCATGCATTGCTAAAGTTGTACTCACAATGTTAAGAAGCCAAATGAGGCTTTATTTAACGTCAGTCTGAACCAAAGCCAGATATTCCTAAAATAATCAAACTGAAGCTTAAAATCTACATTCAGCAAAAAGCGTTATCTTTCTGATCTTTGTGGGTTTTGTATCCATGCAACAATCATCTTGGAACAAGTCTACAAAATGAACGCATGTGTAAAATACACAAGGACACACTTTTGCACTTTTTGCTAGTGCAGTTTATCAACTTACACAAATAATGAGTTTGGCTTTTTCTCTTTCGCAGGCTGTGGTGTTTGAGAAGCCTGGCCTTGAGGGCTCCTGTTTGGAAATTGACAGTGACGTTTTCAGCTTTTGTGAAAGTCAAGAAGACATTGCTACAGATGGAGAAAACGTTGAATCAACACAACTGAAGTCTATGGGTTCTCTAAAGATCATCGGAGGATTGTGAGTCTTCATACTTCACTCTCTGGGATCAAGTCAAGTAGTAATCTTGACTTGAAGGGTAGTTTATTCCGGGTTTTGTTGTTGCCAGCTCGGGAATTTGAGGTTATGTAATGCACTTACGATATGTATAAATACAGCTCTAACTAAAAACATGGCTGCTCTTCTCTCCTTTCAGCTGGGTGGGCTACAGCGAGCCTGGGTTTGAGGGCCAGCAGTTCATCCTGGAGGAGGGGGAGTACCTGGACTGCAGCGACTGGGGGGGCTCAGAGCAGCTCCTGTCACTGAGACCAATACTGGGTGTAAGTACCATACTGAGCTTACTCTCTATGAATCTTTGAGTGACTAAAGCTTATTATACACTAGTACGCAACAAAAAATAGCTGTGGTGTAGTGTTTACATGATGGTTCGACCACCCTGGGTTTGAACGCCAGAATACAAAAATAAGGAACGTTTTTTCCCCTGAAGAAAGTGTATTCTTGTCGGAATGGAAAATCGAAAACTTTCCATATAAACTGACACGTTTGACAGTGTACAGAAAACACAGGGTTAGGAAGCAGGGGGACCATTAAGAGAAAACTCTGAGGATTACTAAACTTAATGCACAGAAACAGTAAACACAAGTAAATAAAATGTAGAAAGGCAATACACTTTTGTTTTTATGAGCCTGTGATAAAGGAATAAACTCCACATTATTATTATTTGTGGGAAAACAGATTATGTTGTTAAGCTTTACAGAAGTGGTTCTCTAACTGTGGAGCACTCTCTCCAGGCATCTCAGAGAATGGCACACATGTCTAAGCGGGGAAATGCTTAATTAGATAGAATCATTAATTGAGTTCAATTAATCTGATCCATGTGGGCAAAGCATGACAACATGGAATCTTTGCAATGTTATCATGATCCAGATTAATATTGTTATATTTCACAGCTGTGAAAAATGAACTTATTCTGACACATAATCAAGCAAATGCAAAAATAAAGTCAAGAAATGATGATACATTTATCTTGCCCATGGTTCAGATAACTCAACCTTGTTTACTTCATTAGCGAAAGGAAACATCTCACACTCTTGACATTGTTACTACGAATGTTTGACATTTTGATCTTCATGTTTGCACGGACTACGTTGTGATGTTCTTCTTCTCTCTACAGGATTTCATGTCTCCACACCTCAAAATGTTCAGCGACAGAGACTTCGGTAATGTGGGCGTCAACATTGACCTCTCAGTGCCTGTTATTAACATGGAGGACACAGGCTATGGTGTGAAGACGCAGTCAGTGGATGTCATCAGTGGAGTGTAAGTGACAAATATAATACTTTAACTACGTAAGCAGTAGGTAAATAATAGGATAATCCACAGCATAGTTGTTTCCCCTGTTAAAGTCAATCGGTGTCTGTGATAAATGACAGTTTAGTGCATGCTAGGAGATACATTTCTCCATTCAAACTGATAATTACTTAGGCTGCAGTCCAAGTGAGGTTTTGTGCGGTTTGTTACCGTTCTCTAAAGTTCAGGTGCATAGCGGTAAGGCTGCCGCACCCACGACAAGTCAAGACAGGCTACCTAGTTCAATAATGGTTTGTCTGCCACACCTCACTATCCGTCAGTGTAAGTCAGCTCTGGAGCATGCTGTCTCACACCCTTGCAGAGGTAATAAATGTCGAATTAATGCTGGGTGTGGAGGAGGAGTTTCTAGACGCCTTAACAAGAAATATCATTCATATTCGGATTGTACTTTGTCTCCAAAAAGTAAAAGATCCAAGTGGTGTTCCATGGTTGTTTCCATTTCTGTTTCTTTATTCTATTAACAGCGAAAATTGTTGTTTAGAGGCCTAAAATCAATAGTTCCTTTGAAGACATGGAAAGAAGGATTATTTAAAAATGCAGAAGTAAACAAAAACCAGAAGCCAATCGGAAGGAATCATTACTCAAATGAGAATAATGAAATGCAGAACATGCTGAGCGCGGCTTGCCAAGGGAGAGGCTAACAAAATGGTGAATAATTATAATAAAAATGGAACATTTCGTTCCTGCTTTAGGAGGCAGGGCTCCTCCGTATTGAAGGGTTATTCTCGCTGTGCTGCTAGCCTGTTATTAGACTGCACGGCCTCGCCCATGCCGTGTTGACTTCCTTCTGAGCCTGTGATTGGCCCAGCGTGTTGTTTGAGCATTGCAGAGAGAGACTTGTTTGTACTTTAGCACAGAGATGCAGACACAAGCCCTGAAGCAGAAATACTCAAGGCGTCCACAACAAAAACACTCCCGCTCAGCCACCCAAGACATATCAGTTTCTCAGGGAGTGCAAACAGTACATAAGTGCTGATATGCTATCATGTCGGAGGCCCTTATCAACTTGGACCTCGACCAAGACTTTCTTTGACTGTGTCACTGGGAATTCTTGCAGTTTTCTTTGATATTAATTATCACACAGTGGTTCTCTATACTAACTCTGAAATGCCGGGTTAGAAATAAAAGGGTGCTTATGTTCCTCCTCCTTCTGTTTCCTCTCTCAGCTGGGTTCTGTTTGAGGAGCTGGGCTTTTGCGGGGAGAGCTTCGTCGTGGAGAAAGGCCTGTACGGATGCCCGGAGGACTGGGGGGCGCTCAAACCCAGACTTGCCTCAGCAATGCCTGTCCGGGTGGTAAGAGCAATGACTCAATTCAAAGTTCTTGTTGTTTTATTAGGCACATGTTGGACCACTGCAGCGGCCTGTGTTTGCTATAGAAGCACAATTAGTTTCTTCTAATCTGAGCTATTTTAATTTCAGCATTTATGATTCATTACTGTGCAGAAGTGCTTTATTCTCACTTCCCCTGGAATTCCTACTTTGGCCAACCAAATCCAATCATTGCACGTGACCAGTCACAACACTCAGGCTCATGGCCAAATCAAAGTTGAAAATGGAGAAAATTACACATTGTGATCATGAGTCACAAGCGGAGCAAAATTAGTTAATCTGTGCACAAAGGACAAATGTGTCATAAGACATAAAGTGAAAACATCTTGATGTATGAAAGTGAGTCATCATGAGGCTTTGAGGCGTTTCAAACTGAATGATTAACAACAGGCATTAAGATTTCATTAAATGTTTTCTTTTCGTGGAATAATTCACCCACACAATGTTTAAACCGTTAATTAGTTTGACAGTTACTCGCCCCGTGTTTCAAATGAACAACAATCTTTTTTATATGCAAATTAACCCATGGTTGATTTTTCTTTCTACTGTGTTGTTTTGTGTATGTAAATGTCATGAAAGCTTTTGTTTCATTTCAGGATGACTTTGATAATGCAGCCAAGTTTAAGGTATGTGATTTCAAAGAAGGATAAAACACATGCTGAGATGGTGGATAGACACTTTATCTGATGTGACACTCTCAGACTGTATAACTCAGGCGTGTGTCTCTCTGTGGGTCTCAGGTGCAGCTTTTCTCTGATCCAGGCTTTGAAGGCTCTGTCCTCCCTCTGGAAGACAGCGCGGCCTCCCTGCAGGACGGCGTGTCTGTGTCCTCTTGTAAAGTCCTGGCTGGAAGGTGAGAACTACTGCGCACTATGAATAAAATATCACTCTGCAGTTATTGTGAGTCATGATATAAGTTGGTACTTAAATGACTGCGCCATTCTGCAAAAATCTGATTTTAGGAATAAACCCTTTTGCATTTCCCAAAGGTGAATCATACCAACGTAGCTTCATACCGCTCAGATACCAACATGTCTCTGTGACTCAGTATCTGCTACAGGCTGTCACTGCTCCACTTCCAAAAAGATGTCTCATGTGGCTGCAGCCTGGGATGTACTGCACATCTGACATTTTGAATGCTGCAGTGTCAATATCAATTTGATATATTGCTAAATGTGTGAACACAGCTGTTCCCATCTTCAAGTATGAATAATCTAGCAAATGCATATTGGCATTTGAATGTAATATACATATGGAAGCCTTGACATGTACATTATGCAAATAGTGTTTAGAACATTACTGTGATGTAGTGCTTCTCTTGTGTGTGTGTGTTAATGTGTTTGTATCCCTGTGTGCAAATGATTTCCAGCTGGCTGGCGTTTGAGGGCCAGGACTTCACTGGCAGGATGTATGTGTTGGAGGTGGGGGGCTACCCGGACCTGAGGGCGATGGGCTGCGTCAGTGCGAGCTCATCCATCCTGTCACTACAGACTGTTGGCTTTGTAAGTTTATTCTCCTCTTGTTATTATTTTAAAATGTGTTACATAGAAATGTTCTAGGGTTTATGACTTTGTTGCACTGACTGTCGTAAAGTGAGGCTAACACCATATATTTAAAGCTGCTACAGTCAATATTATTGTATTAAAAGAGCACTGCACCAATATAGCTCTGCAGTTCCTATACAAATGTCAGACTTATGGACAATTTAAAATATATCAAAGTCCTTTTCACTACATGCAGGTTTTCTGTATTTCCTTTTTTGCTGATAGCAAACAGCACCGCTTTTTGTCTTCATGTTATTGCATATCAAAAGTCCACAATAAAATCATCAGCCTTCACAGGGACAGATTACAAACCGGACTGTTTAAAATCCACTTAGCAGCTTGGTTGCACCTAGAATAATAAAGATAATTTTAAATGTCCGCCCTTTTGACCTATAATAAAAAAAAATCATAGGCTTGGCTGCTAACGTTAGCATTGCTATCATCTGGGCAAAATGCCAGGGAGCGCTTGAGTTTGTCTTTTCCCGTTTCTATGGTAAACCTAAAAATAACTTTAATGTTTACCTGCATGACACGCAGCGTGCCCACCACATTCTTTAATGTGTGTCTTCCTCTCGCTTGGCAGGAGTTTTCCCTCCCATCAATCACTCTGTTTGAGCGGAGTGGGCTGTGGGGGAAGAGAGTGGTTCTGACGGAGGCATCAGTCAACCTTCAGCTGGCTGGAGGCTGCAGCCGAGTCCAATCTGTACTGGTGGAGGGAGGCATGTGAGTACCGCATTATACCTGCTGCCTGGTAACGCCATGTAAGAATGTAAAGCAGCCAGTCACCTAGTCCTCCTTTCCATGTGAGCTCGACGGGTTCATTCATAGCAGCCTGTGAGTGGGTTTCTACCAGGAGTGAACCCACTGTGCTGTCGAAGCCATTCACACTGCCAGGAATGCATCAAACAGAATAATATCCCTAATGTTGCACTCACACCTTCTCCACTTCTAAACCCCTGTTGGTTTTTAATCTATATTTAATATCTTTCAAATTCAAAAAGTGATCAAGCTTGTGAAAAACACCATGTGGAGTGCCAAAAGAAGTTTGATTTTAAAGGTGATACATCTCAAAAGACAAAGGATTTAGAAATTAAAGAAGAAGAAACATCAAGGTCTTGCTGGTGTTCTCTTGACTGGCAGTGATAATCTGCAAGAACCAATTCCAGTCTATTTACTCTAATCCCGGTCTGTAATCCAGGTGGTGAAAAGAGCTCCCTGTTATTCTTTCTTAAGACTGTTAGGGTAGCCTGTATGCTCAGACATGTTTCATAGATTCACATTAATTGAGTGCATCTTCAGCACATCTTATGTACAGCAGTGCTGTCAGATGGAGTGATGACGGAAAGCTGCTGCTGATGTGAGAGATTTAGACTGCATGTGTGAACCAATGCTGAGGAACTAGAGCTCCCAGTGAGCCAGAGCTGTCTGTGGAGTGGCACATTCCTGCTGCAGCTGAGACGGGCAATCAGCCCAACAACAGGCCATTGAGATCCCAGTTCAAAGCAACATTTAGTGTCCGAGACAGAAAATGGATAGCAGTAAAAACTCAGCATATTTAGAGAAATGACCTTTGACACAGTGCTGCAAAGGCGGAGACTCGACAAATAAAGCTAAAAGAAGAATATGTTCCTTCACAAGTTAGAAAGCCTGGTTTTTTAACACCCGAGATTAAAGCCATAGCAGACTGGGTCAACAATAACAAACTGGTACTCAACATTGCAAAAACAAAAGCAATGGTGTTCGGATCCAGACATATGTTAAGCAGCATTCCTCAATTAAGCCTGACACTGGGTGGTCAGCCAGTGGAACAGGTAAACGAGACTAAATTGCTTGGTATTGTTCTTGATTCTGGTTTACGGTGGACAAAGCAAATTGACAGTATCGTAACTAAAATGGGAAGGAGCATAGCTGTGGCGAGAAAATGTACAAAGTATGTAACACCAACCACTTTGAAACAAGTCATTCAGTCTCTGGTTTTGTCACATCTTGAGTACTGTCCGGTCATATGGTCATCAGCAGCAAAAACACATTTACAGAAATTACAAATAGCTCAAAACAAGGCTTCCAGACTAGCTCTCCACTGTTCGAAGCGCACTCATATTGGAGTTTTGCATAGAAAGCTATCATGGCTTCCAGTTGAGAAACATCTGCAATCTCGTGTTATCACTTTTCTAAAAAAATTCTAATTTAGCAAAAAAACACTGTATTTTTATGATCAAATAGTTTACACAAGAGACGAGCATGACCATAAGACTAGACAAGCTACATCAGGCCATTCTAATTTTTTCAATTTTTAGACGCTTGATTGTTATTAAGGCACATAAATTACAAAGATAAACTTACATGTACATTTTCCTGTTTTAAAAAAAACAACACAATTATACTCTCAAAATCATCATCATCAAAATATATGTTTTCTTCTTTTTATCCCACAACAATTCATTTAAAGTGCGTACAAATATTTAGTCTTTTTCAACAACAGTAGTCAACATCAGGCCATCTACTGGCACCTAAACCCAGGACACATCTTCTGTGACTTGTAGAGCTATAAAGGAATGGAACTCATTGCCAAACTACCTTGCTGAAATAGAGTCCAGAGCCATCTACTAATGACCATGTACAAGAAGCAACATACAATGAAGGAAGAGAAATACAAACAAATAACCTATGAAATGCATTGTTCTACTCGTCGATGCAGTTTGTTGAGATGAAGAATTCAAAGATTGAAAAACAAGCAAATCAAACGTTTGTTATTTGGCCAGCCTAACTTCTGAGTATAAATAGGAAACACCAGTGTAAACAGTATTTATCTTCAAATGAACTGAGGAAAGCTGAGCAGGAAGTGGTGTTGGTTTCACTGTGGATGTTGAACATATAAATCTTTACTCGGTTCTGTTTTTTCTTCATCACCAGGTGGATTTTATATGAGGGAATCAACTATCGTGGTCCTCAGATCTTGCTGAAACCTGGCGAGGTGCCAGACTTGAGAAAGTTCAGCAGTTGGCAGAAAATTGGATCCCTTCGCCCTCTCACACAGGTATATCCTTTCACTCCCCACTAGGCACAAAGTGTCTCTGCACCGCAATACATGTTTTAACCATTATGTGCTTCTACCTTACAAAGATTGCACCGTTTAGGTCACTTCATCAAGTTTTCACAGCTTGTATGGTTTAGATTTGGCTTGTGTTAATCCCTTTTCTTTAATGTACTTTACATTCAACTTGTACTTTTATGTTGGACACTAGGCAGCTGATCAAAATGACACTGAATACCTATTGTATTATTTTGTACGTACTGTCCACTCCAGACCTACTGTCAGTGAACGGCTGTGTACCTTAACTTTAAGAAAGAACAGAAAAAAAACGAATGCAATTTTTTTCCTTTTTTAAACAGTATTGATGAAAACAGAAGCTATCATTTAATGCACAACAGCTCTACACGGCAAGCCTCAACAACTGAAGTATTGTAGCTTATTGTTTCTTTGTTATAAAGTTTGTGTAGAGCTGTGTATTAGAAGCTTTGATTTCCTTATGGAACGTTGAAACGTTGTTTAGAAAAAGGCACAGACACATTTTGTTTGGTAACCTACTTCTCTTTCAGAATAATGAACTGTTTTTCACGAAGCAGAAGCCCTGATGCCATTGTGTTTTTTTGGTTATGTGTTATTTCTGAGTAGAAGCGAGTGCACTTCCGTTTAAGGAACAGACACTCGGGGCTCATGATGTCAGTGAACGGCGATTTGGAGGAGGTCAAAATGCTGAAGATCCAAGAAATAGAAGAGAATGATGGATTCGATCAGATCTGGTTCTACCAGGATGGACACCTCCACTGCAAGGTACGGTACCAACATGACAATATGACATAGTTTCACCTGATGGTGCTTTGAATGAATCATCACCAAGCCATGGGATCACAAAGATCAGTTTCTCTGTTTGTTATATATAGCATGTACATTGTGGTCATCCAGTCAATCTATTCCACAAAATGACAATACATTTAAATGTTTTAATTCAATTTGATTTTAAAACATGTATAATAATGGTATTGTGCATGTTTTAACCGGTTCATGCATATATATGAAATAATAAATGTATGATGGTTGAAAATAAGGAGTAGCAGGTTGTGCTGTCTCCCACCAAAGACATGAGTTCAAATGGGATTTTGAAAGGTGTAAAGTTAACATCCCAGAGAAAACGATTTGTTAATAAGTTCCAACACTTACAGTAACTCCCTGACTGCCATGAAACGTTTGCTGCAATTTTGTAAAAAAAAACTGCATTCTGTAATTAACGCCCCCAAGTGCGTCACCAATAGAAAGCCAAGGATGTGCATTAAGAGAGCGTGTGGCGTAGTGGGTTGTCCGTGGGCAAGACACTTCACCCCAAATTGCTCCTGTGGGGATTGTCCACAGTATTGAGTATGTAAGTTGCTTTGGATAAAAGCGTCTAACAAGTGACGTGTTATGTAATGTGCATTAAGACTGCGTAATAGTTCAAACATAGTGTCATGAATAAGCCGCTCATTGTCTTGCCCCCGCAGAGAAAAAGTACGAATTGTCGGTTCTTAGTAGCAGAGGTGATCAACAACTACAAAAGGTGCTGCACTCCAGACCGTTTTAATCATGTCAAAATGAATTCCCAAACTTAAAGTAAATGGGCGGTGGTGGCGAAGTCGATAGGGACTTGGCTTGGCAACTGGAAGGTCACCAGTTCAAGTCCCGGAAAGACCAAGTGCTACCGAGGTGTCCCTGAGCAAGGCACCGTTCCCTACACTGCTCCCCGGGCGCCGTTCAAAATGGCAGCACACTGCTCCTAACACTAGGATGGGTCAAATGCAAAGAAACAATTTCCCCACGGGGATTAATAAAGTATATCAAAATCAAAAAAATAAATAAATAAATAAAGTAGAATCATTTTCATCAAGACTACCGGTAGGTCCAAAGCAGCTCAAACAAAAGACTAAAGACTATATATATATAACCTCAGTTCAACTTTCTATTGAGGTGCCACTGTGAACCTCCCCGTCAAACAAAACACAGATCCCTTGATTTGGCATAAAGCCTATATCCTATAGCCTATATGTGTCATGATTAAACAATGGAGTGCTGGTTGAAAAAGGTTAACCACTGGAGTAAATGTCACTGAACTCCCCTCCTGTGTCTCAGCTGCTGGAGGAGTGCTGCATGGGTCCCACTGGCAGTGTGACGATGGTAGGAAGCCGAGTGGGTCTCAGCCCACATCCTGAAAACCATGTCCACCTCTGGAGCATCACCCCCGAGGGCTTCATCCGCTACACCCCCACCTCTGATCTGGTGCTGGAAGTCAAAGGTGAGTCTTCTAAACCTTTTATAGAAAACCAGTCCTTTTTTAATATTACAAGACACATAGTACGAATGGTATAGCTGACCCTTGGACACTATGTTTTTATGATGGAATCACTTCACGGTTATGCTGTATTCCTTTCAATTTGTAAGTCAAACATTCATATACTTTATGTTCACCTTAAGGAACATTATTTAATGATATCCTAATATTCTTTGTCCCGAGTTATTATAAATGCAAGATGCATTAATTTGACTCAGTACACTACTCCATTTACTCACCTTGAACCTTACTTTCTGTTCTTTTTACATAATAACTTTAACTGGAAACTGGGTATTAATGCATGCAGGGCTTTGTTTGCAACGCTGTCAATGAGTGACACCTTGTGGACTAATTCATGTTAGTGTCCACAGGATATTCCAGTGCACTAAGATGCATCGTTTAGAATAATAAGACCCTAAACACATGTCGTACCTGGAGTAATTATCTGTATGTGCCAGGTTTTGACTAATATAGAGTATATGACAAAATTGACCTAAATAAAATGTGTCTCTGTTTCAGGGGGACAACACTACGACAAAACACAAGTGATTTTAAAAACACTTGATCCAAGTAAACCACAACAAAGGTGGGATGTGGAGGTGATATGAAAACCTATGATCTCCTGGACTGTTATATATTATTATCATCAGAGGCTGTCATGCAGCTACAAGATGCTCAAAGGCGAGGTACGATCAGAGATGTTCCCCCTCTGCAGGAGGACTACACAAGTGTCCCATGAGGTCAACATGGAGAGCTTTGGATAAATCCGTAAGAATGTATTACTACTCAGAGCAGAGTCTGAACTTGAAATGCTTTGTATTTTACACCAATTATATCCTACAACTTTCTTTGTATTGAATAAATCTGTTTGCCAGATTTTCATTAACTTAAACAGTGTTAAAAATGTTCTATACCTGTATGCAATGTTATGTTATATGTATACTGTATATATAGCACTATTTTCCAACTGCATGCGAAACAAAAAAATAAATGTTCTCTTGCAATGTGTCTTTTTTTCTTTGTTTAATCAAAATGACACAGCACAAAACCCCTGGTTTCCAGAATAAAGTATTTTTGTTAATACATTTTTCAACACACTGAGCAAAATGCTTCAGGTTTCAATAACAGTTTGTACCCAAATGTTGAACTGCTAACTTTTGTAAAGCTCAAACAATTATAAGCTGCATTCACATGATGTGAGATGTCACACGAGGTTGGGAAAGATTCCCATGGTTACGACATGATAGTCGTTAAACAACATAACATGGACAAATGCACAGAAAATCCAATGTCTTATCTTGCTGCCTCACCTCGTACTGGAGTATAAACACATCTGTTGGAGCCACATAAAATGTCCATCTTGTTGGATAGATTGCAGTGATCAAAAGCCTGGCTGTACCAGCTGGATGCTGAGCTGAATGTTAAATCATTCCACAGCCGGTTTTAACAACCTTCACAGGAACGCAGCACATCTTGGGAAATTTAAAGACAATACAGAAAGGTGTACGCTTTTACAAGAGCAGCAGCCTTTGAAACCCTCTAATTACAATCTCTGGTCAAGCATATTCTGCTCTCTACTGCACCCAGAAGCCCCTCTGTTCCCTATGAATAATACAGTCTGCAGCTGTCAAGAGTAGCCGAGTAAAGGTGAGAAGAATCGCAGCGCTCTGCCGGCTGACTAGTGTTACTCGGCCGGTTCTCGCCTTTCTTGTTCAGACTCTGCGGTGTCTCAGTAACTTTCCTGCACCAACTTTTCGGCCTGCTGGTCGTCCTCTTCGGTCACTCTGACCACCGTCTTCCCTCTGGCGTGGCCCTGCTCCAACTTCTGGAAGGCCTGGGGCACCTGGGTAAATGGAAACTGGGCCTCCACAATTGGCAGGATCTGCAGGGAACCAGCAGAGAAATATCGTGATAATGAGCCCAACATATTTTAGGGAATGAAACAACTCAAGAGAACACATTTAATCCATCAGCATATCAGCATGGACACAAAGGGAATCTGCTTTGCCTTAATGGTGTTGACTGCCTTATTAGAGAGCAGGATTAATGTCGATTAATCAAATTCTCTGTGGCAACCTTTTTCTTTCTAATGTTGCGGTGAAGGGATAAACTCTTTGCAATAAGTGCTGTAAACCATGCAAATTGAGAAGCTGTCTCCATTACTCCTGGACTCAGATCGAAGGTTATTTTCTCCTCCCAAAGCACACCGCAGGGAAATTATAGTAAATGGATTTAGACAAGCCAAAATCCACAATCTCCTGATGCTACATGCTATCATCTGTGCTGTTATAGCTGTGAAAGGGTGGGGCAGGGGTTCAGAATGTGATGAGGCTGGACAATCCTGTGCTAGTCCCACAACACCAGCTTGTTATTCTGGTCAGCATCTCTTGCTGCTAACAATGAATGGGGAGTGCAGTGGCGTCACGCTGGACACCATCCACACTTCTGCCTGGACACGCAGAGAGTGTGCATGTGTTTTGTGCAGGGGGGGGGGGGGGGGGGCTGTGTGTCTGTAGCTTCCCGCCACAGGTCTGAGTGTGCCGCTCGCTGTAAGCCCCGGGGACAAAAGGACAGAGGTCCCACACGCTTTTTTTCGAATGGCTGCTCAGCACTGTTCAAAAATCCATTCAGCGTCTCCTGGCGCCTGACTCAATCGCCCAGAAGCCAACAGTGCACTGAGGGAATGCAATGCTCCCTCCTTAACAAAGCCTTGAATATAAGCATGTGTGGAATCCCTGGTATGTCCATATTTAATTTGCTGTATGATCTCGACCCTTGCAGGGATTTCTCTCTCAGGCTGTGTGCAAATGAGCAGATTTCCATCTCTGTCAGTGTTCTGAATAACAAGTATGCCGGCCTGTAGGATGTCAGTAATGAAGCGGTACAGTACCTTCCCAGCATCCACCAGCCTGCTGACATCGTCCAGAGCAGGCCCATCCGGAGCATAAAATCCCCACCGATAGAAGACTCCACCTGAAATGATGTTCTAGGACACAAACAGAGAGGAGGCTAAGATTAGAAGTCACGCAGGTGTGAACCTCACTGTTTAGAAAAGGAACACAGAGTGGTTGCCTGGTTAAGAAAATATAAAAATATCATTCATAGGAAGGTCACTAGGAGTCCTACATTGACCTCCCTGTTTTCATAAAGGTCAAAAGGTTTTTTACAAAATGAAGATAATACCATGAATGCATTTCTGTAGATTGGACATTTGTAGAAAGTCAAATCAGGATGTTTTCAGATGCAGAAAAGTTCACTTGAAAGCCAGAACATGGAAGAAATACTCACAATTACTCATTTTAATTAATGAGATTTATTAAATAATTTTTTTTAATTGAGATTTAACATACAATAATTCCTCAGAAATGATCTCCAATGGTCAATGTCTTTTTTTTAATCATGTAATCCACCCACTGAAAACAGCCTTTTGGTTATGGAGGTTTAATGATGTAACAAGGAGAAAACAAAGTTCCAATAAAGCTGCACCAGGAAGCATCTAAAGCAAATCAAGAAAGAAAGAAACTCCCATGCGCTTCAATTGAAATACAACACTGAATAATCGCCCACATTATTATGCGCATGGCTTTGCCACACCTCTATAGCCTCTGGTCAATCTGTCTGTGCTTGCTTGAAAAAAACAACACTTCCTGATCATTGGTGATGACAGGAGATTGAACACTAGAGGGCTCAGTTGTGCTGTGGTCTCTGGATGAAAAGGACGTGTTGTCGGGCGGCGAGGGTGCGACTGCTGCGGCCGAGCAAGGCCAAACTGACCAGCTGGCTGCGAGCGTGGACAAAGGGAGCCGAGGCTTGGCAAGAAACACACAAACACTGGTATTTGCTGGGGGGAGATAGCCGGCTACAATCTGCACAAACACCAAATACTGCTGGTTCAGCAGCAGACATGAGCACACACACATCGCATCAAGTCTAACGCCCACCCACACACACACACGCCACACACACACACACACACACCGTCAGCCGTGCTGCCACCAATGCCCGGGGCAGCTTAACTCAGTCCCTTGAGCAGCTCCACCCTGTTCTCGCCCTTTCTCCCACCACCCTCACACACTCCGAGCAGAATGACAGGACCAGCATGTGTTTACATGAGGCTCCAACTCTTAAAGCTCAAACTCCTTCTACACCCGCACAATACTTTTACAAAGTATATGCTATGAAGCTAAGTCAAGATATAACATCATCTCTTGCTCTTTAATGCCAATGCACTTTGATTAACTTAAACAAAACTTCTGCCGGGGGAACACAAAGATGTCTATCCATGCCACTGAGGATTACGTATTGCGTTTCAGTTTGGGAGCACCTGTGGTACACACCCATGTAAAATGATTCATTTGATCAATATACAACAGTGCATTAAGGGCAGCAGTATAATCTTTCACATCTGCTCTGTTTTGAAATCTAGTCTGCTCGTCTTACCTGTATGGCCTTGCTTTGCAGGGAGGATCCAGCCTGACACATCCCGTCCAGCAGGCCCATAGAATCGGTGTTGAGGAGTAAAGGTGTAACCAGAGTGACGTACTTTGCCCCAGACCAGGGCTTCAGCAGGCCCAACGCCAACTGCTCCGTCTCCCCACCCACGTTGTCCAGAACCACGTCAAACCTGAGGGGGAAAGCACAGACTGTCACTATCCACTGCGCCACACGCCTCCTCTTTAGGGAATATATACTAAACACATACATGCACACTTGGGAGCATTGCATGGTTTATCACTGGTCAGGTGCCTTTTGCTAGTTCCATAATATAAATGGAAAATGAAAGGCTTGGACAATAAAACTGTTATGTCTTCAAGTTTTAGGCAGAGTTTACCAATTTTGATTCAGGGGCAGTGAGAGGGGTTAGCCAGCACCCACTCAAGCCTTGAATCCTTGTTTCCAAGGTAACAGGAAAACGAATCAGTGAGCAGTCGTGCTATTCTGACAGGAAGATGTTTACCACATTATGGGGGCATTTAAAGGGGAAAGCACACATCATTATCACAGTCCTGGATTATTCATTTTCATTAGCACTTTTATTGGACTGGCACTGACTCTAGTGATATTCTATTAGAGTGTGGGTCTGGAGATAGTGGAGAACATTGGTCCTCAATCACAAATATCCTCCAAAGTTTTTCCTCAATTTGTTAGTCATCAGATTCATGACGTGTTCTTAAACTGCAGAATCCTCCCTGATGAATTGTGAGCTTATGTGTGCGGTCCTCATTTACAGGTAAACACCCGTCACAAACAAAAGTCAACGAAGGGTGGTGCAACCTATTAAAAAACCTATATATAAAATACCACATAAAAAAAAAAGCATGGGATGCCATTACTCGAAAACAGTTGAAGTGATTTTTAAGACTATTCAATGTCACCACTGTACACATAATGCACTATACGATATGAATCTTCTAACACACCCTTTAATGGCATGACACATACTTCTCCATCATTGCTAGCTGCTCAGACGCGTCTTCTGCCGTGTAGTCCACCACCTCGTCGGCCCCCAGCCCTCTGACAAGGCCCTCTGCGTTCGGAGAGCAGGTTACGGTTACGTGGGCGCCCCAAGCCTTCAATAACTGGCAGCAAACAGAGAAGGAAAAACAGAAATAAACACACAGACGCAGCAAGTGGCTCTACACTCAAGCAGAGTTTAAAATACTCAAAAACCAAACTCGGTACAGAGAGGGGGGGGGGGTACACGTTGCCTTACCTGAATAGAGAATGTTCCAACACCCCCTGATCCTCCAGTTATCAAAACTCTAGGAGGAAAAAGAATACTCACAGTGTCATTCAATTACTGCGTGTCTCATTTAAGCTACCACTAGAAGAGTAGGGGGTAAAAGGGGATCTGCAGGATTGAAAGCAATTACATTCAAGGGGGGTGAAAGTTCCATTAGATTACACACAGGGTTAGATTTGAACAGTCTTTCGGGTTAACGACAGGATTTTTGAAACCCTTTTGATGCCAATTAGCATGAAATAGAAGATCAGTTTCACCACT